TGCTTTTGAGGAGGACCATCCCTCCCTCCCATGGGCTACAAGGCCTAAACCTCCTGGTTGACACACCCACAACCCTGCAACTAAAGCTCTGCCCCTGAAATGGGAATGCAAAGAAGACAGACAACCTGAAGGTTACTCTCTTCTTGGCTTCCCTGCAGGAAGGAGATGCTGAAATGCACCCATGACAATATCCCATCATTTCAGAAGGGCTTTCTCTCTTCACCTGGGGTATACCCTGAGCCATACAACCCCTGTGCTGCAAAACTGAGAGGTTTCTGCTCTCTTTCTCTCTTCAGTCCCTGCAGCCTGGTCACCTGCCCCACGTGGCTCCTGGAGTGGTGACCTGCAGGTCACTGTTTCCTAGAAGAGAAGTTGGGAGAGCACCATCCAGCCCTGACTCACTGCCAACTCACAGGCACGTCCTCCTCTCTGCACCTCAGCTTCCCCTTTTGAGCTCACATTTCCCATTGCTGGAGAGCCTGATGGGACCTACAGCTGGAAGTTCACTGTCCCCTTCACCTTGAAGCCAGCTGTGCTCATCTCCCTCGCTCAGTGCAGACCACCAGCCTCAAAGCAAACCCAGGGGGGCTAGGAGGGAAGGGGTGGCACAGGGGACATCCTGCTTGGCAAGGTGCTGTCCTTGAGCCAGAGGTTGCCCTGATGTCACCTGAAAGTCTGGTGAACAGGGGGTGAACAGGCACTCCTGGGTATGGCATGTGGCAGAGCTGCCAGTCACATGGATCTGAAAATTCCTGCTACGCTTGTGACTATCTCCAAAACACCTCAGGTGGACAAGAGGAACAAAAAGGAGTTTGCAGAATCAGTGTGACTAGCCCAGACCTACTGCCCTCTGTGGGGGAGCCTGAAGGTAGGAAAGGAAATGTTTGCCATTTTCCATACAACTCCTGCACTCCAAACACAATGGATGTGCAGGATCTCACTCCTCAGAGCTCTTACAGCCCATTAGGCCCCTCAGAAGAAAGCCAAACACTTCCTTACACTCTGACAACGACAGCTCTTCACCTCTCAAGACCTTATGACACACAGCCAGCTCTTTCAGTCACTTCTACTTAAGGGCCCAAAGCTTCTGAATTAAACATCAGGCTCTGAATGCATCTCTCCAAGTGCCTGAGATGTGCCAGAGTGCCTGGATGCCACTGCCAAACACCCACCACAGCCTTTCTGAGTCATGGCCCAGGATTAGCTGGGAGGGAACATCAGCCCAGGGTGATGTTACACTGGGACACACACTGAGCAAACAACCCCCGAGGGACAGCTCAGCTCCTGCCCCAGGAAGAATCAGAGGAGACAAGGAAGGAACAAGAGGGAGACGTAAGAGAGATGCTGTCAGCGCCCGGTACGCAGTGGGTCGTGCTCTGGCCCTATCCCAACCACTCAAGGTGAACAACTTCCAGCTGAGCATTTGCACCCAGCTTTCACAATAGCTTATTATTTCACAGTGCTGCTGAGCAATGTTTGCCTTTCTCCTCTGTGCCCTCGAGGATGTTTCCCACATCCATGTTTCCAGCCCTGAAAACACAAGGCCTTGAAACCAGGAACACAGTAAAGTCACTTGAAAAGGAATAAACCTCACAGTGGTCAATGATTAGGGAGGCTCAATCACTAGGAACTAAGTTTGCAGTGTCCTTGGCTGCATCACAACACAAATGTGACTGTGCCAATGTCTGAGTGACCCCAAATCTGATTAGAGCACTTATCCCCACGTGTTTACAGCTATGATCCTATGTCTTTTAGGCTGAGCTTCCTTATTTAATTTGAGGCTTTCAAACCTGCATCCTTGAAAATAAGAAAAGCCAAGATGCCTAAAAATAAACACCAAACAGTTGGGAAGGAAATCTGCCCCTGGGCTAAAGGATCCCAAGAGAAAACAAAAGGGAGATGCCTCAAGGAAGATCCACAGAAAGGGGAAAAGAAGAGGGAAGAGGAAAAGAAGGGGGCAGGGGAAGAGGAGCCTGTCCTAGTGCTGCCCAGCCTCCCTGTTCACAGACTCCTTTTAGCAGCTTCTCACTCAGATATTCTGCCTACAGCTATAACATTTCCTTCCCAGATCTCTGGCAAATGAATTAAAGAGGAAGTTTAAATCAGCCCATTCAGTGCTCCTTGACCCAGCAGGAGGGATCAGAGCTCTTAGCACGTGCTCAGCTCCCACTAGAAAGTTAAGCACCACTCACCTCTGCAAGGTAAAGGAGGCAGAACTTCCGATCTTCTGAACCTGTGAAGCAGAAAAACCAGGATCAGAACGAAGCTGCAGCTGCATTTCTGCAAGCAGAGCCACTGGCAGAGGAGCTGGCTAAGGGACAGCACTGAATGAATATTTGTTGTTGTCCCCCTCCAGTACCAGGCTGTGATCTGGGGTGATGTATGTGGCATCTGCTGGGGCTGGGCATGGGCAGGATGTGCTGCATGGAATCCTGCAGCGACTCACTGAGCAGTCATGGATTTTCCTTTGGGGGTGTCCTTCTGGAAAGGGTTTGTTTCAGTCAGAGGCCATGTGCAGGTTCTCCTGCCCAACCTGCCATGGCACAACCAGCCTGACACCTTCCCAAGGGCTGTGGAGGTCTCACAGCCATCCTGGGCACTGTCTCTCCCATTGGAGAGGGATGGGTCTCTCCCACATTACCTCTAAGGACACTCTGTTCCCAGGAGCACTGACACAGAAGCTCCTGTTCCTCCATCCTTGCTCATTCCCAAGCCCTTGCATGGTGCTGGTGGTAGTGCTGTCTGTCCTACTCCCCATCAGTGCCAGCAGCTGGGGCAGTGCCTCTCCAAGGAGTTGGAACCAAATACCAGGACAAAGGGAAGCAGCTGACATAGGGCAGGGTGAAGAGCTCATGCTACTCCATCAGGCTGAGGGCAAACTCCCCAAGGTCCAGCCACCAACCACTCAGAAGATCTGGCCAAGGAACTTGCACTTCCACGGTTTCAGGAAAGGAAACAGTGCTGGAGGCAATGCAATAACCAACACTGATCCATATCTTGCTGAAACACGGAGCAGCCCAGTGTGGCTTCTCATTTTGCTGCCAGCTATGCCAGGGCATGGGTTACGCTGCAGACTGGTTCCTGCAGGCCTACCCTGCCCTATACCCAACTAAAAGGCAGCCCTGAAGGTTTGCCCTGGTCTCTGATCCCTGCTGGTGAGACCAAAGTGCCCCCAGCCCTGAGGGAAGCTCCTGGCATTCATCAGCCTCACAGAAGGACGCAAATCTGCCCCAGGACAGGGTCACCTCGGCTCTGAAGCTGGACATCCCATCTCCAGGATCCAGCTTGCTCCTTCACACCAGCATGCCCTGCACCAACTCTGCCCTTGGCAGCACTGTGGGGCTGAGGCTTTCCTAATGCCCTTAATGACATTATCTGGGCCATGAGATCAGAGCTGCAGCCTGGGCACAGCCACAGATCCCACTCAAAGCAATGTCAGCACAAGCTCTGCTTCATTTCAACAGCCTGAGCTGTGCTAGTGATGGGAACAGGCTCTGCACAGTGCTGGAAACACTCTGTTCCCCAGAGGAAAGCAATTCTGCTGCTGCAGGCCATAGCTCAAAGGTCAGGATAAGAGCTGTGACCCACTGAGGGACTCAGCTGCCTCTTGAGTTACCCCATGGGCAATGCAAAACCCATGAAGAAGTGGTTGGGGACCCTTTGCTGCCCTTTGGGGGGTCACAGGTCTGTCTCTGCTGCCAGCTTCACTTGTAGTGCAAGTTACAGGTTATGGGTTGGAAAATCCTTACAGGGTCACCAGGACACTGTGTCACAGTGGCTGCTGGAGCCCAGCACCAGTGGGAGTGCTGCTGTGCACCTCTTGGATGAGGAGCCCCTGTGTGTTCCCAAAACCTTCACTGTGCTCCCTCCGGGTAAGGTGAGGGTCAGGGAAGCAAACTGGCCCCAGGGCTACTGAACCATCACTTTCAGAACCCTGAAACACATGAACAGACCTGGCTGGGAGCCCATGGCTCATCTCTGCACCACAGCAAAACCACTCACCATTCCCCATGGCAAATGCCTGAGCTCTCCCAGCACCCTCTTTTATAAATCCCAGCAGGACCATCAGGGAGTATTTTCCTTGTCCATTTTCCTTCCAAAGTCCCTGATGGGAGCCCTTCAGCCAGTATTTTTGGAAGCAGGATCTGAGCCTGCTGCCAGCACACCACAAGTCCACCATCCTTTTCTCCTGCTCTGTTTCCCAAGTGGCCAGTGGTACAACACCTCATCTCCTCAGCTGGGATCTGCTCCTCCCTGCACCAGGACCAAAACTCTCCAGGCTGCCTTGCAAAGCAGACTGCAGAACACCAGTATGTCCCAGCCACGTTCCCTGAGGAGCTTTAATCAGGCTGATGTGAGGAACAAATCATCTCCAGCAAAGAACAGTGACAGAGTGTAACAGCCCTGGTAATGACCCCACTTCTCTTGGGCCTGTGTTTATTCCTTCTGCATTAACAAGTGATCCTGACAAGGTGCAAACACACCAGAATTAAATTCCCTCCTAAATTCCTCTCCATTGAGCTATGAATCTTGGCACCAGCAACCTTTACAGCCAGCAGCTCCTGTTCCCTGGCCCTCCCAGGCTCACTGGCCAAGCAGCCCAGTGCCTCGGGACACACAAAGCAAGGAGCCAGCCCAGGCTGAGGAACAGCTTCAGTTCCATTTTCCACCAGTAACTGCCTTTAGGAAGACCAAACAGGAGGGCAGAGACTGGTTGCCCAGCCCAGTAGCTGGGCTGGAGCCAGGGTGAGGAGTCCTGGTGAGGGGAGGCTGGAGGGTGATGGCAGAGCAAGGAAGGGCAGACCTGAGTGTTTGCCAGGATTGCTTAAACTGGAGCATTTTCAAGGCTCCAAAGCATTAGGCTGGAGCACCAGAGCTGATGTGCCCAGAGCTGTGCAACCTGCTCTCCACAGAGACCACAGGGAGAGGCACAACCTCACCCCAGCAAGGTGGCAGCCACCAGGCTGATCCAGGGCTCTGCTCCCCACACCATTTGTGACAGCAGCACAGCACAGCCAAATTCAGGGAAAAGCTAAAGGGAAATAAACAGCAGAAAGAAAAAACTCACTTGAAGATATTTGCTTTTCTTCCTGATGTGCTGGTGGGGACTGGATTGGCTTCCAGAGTAATGTGAACTGTCTCTGTGCCAGACACTGCAGTGTGCTCAGCACAAGGAGGAGGGTGCAAGCTCTGTGGGGACACATCCCCCTCTCCAGCTAAGCCCTGTCCCACACACCCACACTGACTTACACAGCTCCTGGCAGCAGCAGCTCTCAGCACCACCCTGGCTATGCCACTTCCCTGTGCAGCCCATGGAAAGCACCTGCTGCTCCCAGGATTTGGGTGCTGCATGCCTGGTGTCGGGTAAAAAAGATGGGAAAAGAGGGAAGATGGCCCTGTTCCTTTGTGCATGGCCCAGAGGCCTGTGGCAATGCCCATGGTGAGGGTCCCCAGGTCCTTACACGTGCTCCGTAAGGACAGGACTGCATCCAGCTCACAGGGCAGGGTGCTGTGGGGCCCTGGATGCATGGGCAGAAAGGGAAACTGCTGTGCACATCCATACCTGGCTGCCAAGAGAAGACCTACAACCATGGCTGGACTCGATGATCTTAGAGGTCTCCTCCAACCTCAATGATTCTATGATAAGCTCGTCACCCACTGAGGCACACGTCCTTGGGGAAGTGTGGCAGTGTTTCCCAGCACTGCTGGGGCAGCAGGGAGAAGCCATGGAAAGCCCATAAATGACTCTCTTGACCTCTGACTATCTTGGAGCTGTAAGGTATGGCAGGTTGGGATGTCAGGGACAGTGAAGCAGCACATGAGAACTCCTTGTCTGCAGGATCCCAGCTGGGGATGGAGTGCCATCATCCAGCTGCAAAGTCGGAAGACTCCTCTGTGTCCCAAAGCTGAACACACCCACCCAGAGGAGACAGGATCCCAGCACATGGAAATTCCCACAGTATCCAGTGAGGAAGCCAGCCCTGTCTCACTGGAAAGCTTGGCTGGTGTGGTGCTCATCAGCCTTGCTGAGCTTCTAAAGCAGGAAGACAGTGCATTGTAAAGCAGATCAGACTGATTTGCTTTCACCCAGGGCAGCGAGCGGCAGGGACAGGAAACATCACAATGGTCCTCAGCACACCGGAGATGTCTCAATTGTTGGACGCGGCAATACGCCTGTTCCTATTCATGTGCCATTCAGCTCTTCAGGAGACAGAAAGAAAGGCCCTGCCAAGAGGGACAGGCATCTTTTGGCTCTTTGGAGCAGTTCTGCCCAAACAAAGAGGGTCTGAGCTGCCTGAGCACCAGCTGTGCTGGATTCATGGTCTATGTGGGGCAGTTCAGTGGTGTAGAGACCTTCAGCTACTTCAGAGAGGCTTGTGGAGCTCTGTGGAGGCAGTGAGGCAGTTTGGTGTTGTAGAGACTTTTTCATCCCCTTTGGAGCAGCTTGTAAAGCTATTCCTGATGTGATCCAGCCAAGTTATTATTGCAACAAGGAACTAAGTGGCACAAACCCCAAGGTGCTTGAGGTGAGGAGTCACGTTCCTGTGCCAAGCTGCAAACAGACCTTGGTGCAGTCAGGACTAGCACCAGGGTTGATTTCTCCAAGCAAGTGAACAAGAGCAGAGTTGTTCCCCAGCCTTTAGGAGCAGCCAGGGGCAGCACATGCTCCAGAAGCAGACACCGACCACATGCACTTCAACGAGGAGCAATTTCTTTTATCCCTTTTATAGAAATAAACAGCACTGAGAACACAACAAACCCCAGGGAAGCTGCAATAGCTTTTCTCAATGGCTTGTGTTGTGGTGCCCAATCTCCCTCACTGTGTTTCTGCCTGCAACAAGTAGGTCAGCAAATCTGTCTGGAAGCAGAAGTGTTGTGGGAAATGGGAAATAACAACTGACACACAGCCTGTGTTTGACAAAGCACTGCAGATCCCCAGCACTGAGGCTCACAACAACATGGGGCACGTGGAGAGACACAGCTCAGCCACTGAGCTCAAGGCTCAGCTGGGGAAAGGCACAGAAAGCAGCAAAGTTCATCCAGAAAATGATCCATTTGGACAAGCAACCTAGGTCTGGACTGATCCCTTTTGATCAGAGCCTAAGGACTGCACCACGACCTCAGCTCATCATCAGTTACAGAGTAATTCAGGTTGGTAGGTAGACTCTGGAGTCCCAAAGCAACCAGGGCTCTGCCCAGTTGAGCCCTGAATGCCTCCAGGATTGGAGATCCCATAACCTCTCCAGGCAACTTCATATTTGACCAACCTCATCACAGAAAAGTTTTTCCTTCTATCTAATCCTGCATTCCCACGTCAGGTCCTGGTGCAGTGACACTCACTGCCTGGGTTAGAGGAGGAGCTGGGCCACCAGCCCATGCTGAGGCAGTTGGGCTGCTGTAAATAAACCAAGCCCATATCCAAAAAGCAACCACACCACAGAAAGAACAAGGCGAGACTGGAGGTGGCTGCACCACAGCAAATAGGATGTGGTAGAGCAATCTATTCATTCCTCTTTTGACTCCAAGTAAGTAAAGGGCATCTCTAAAGCCTCAGCACTTCAACATGAAATAACCCATTTTGAGTCATCCCTTGCCCTAGAAGCTTTCTCCAAGGTGTTGGCTGGACAAGAAAAGTCAGGGCAAGGTCCCCAGCCCTGCTCTGAGGGCAGGTTTGCTCTTTCCCCCTCAGCAGGGTGTGCAGGGGGGGATGGATGCTAGCACAGAGGAAACTGTGGGTGGCTGAAGGGAGAAGTAGCAAAGTAAAGGTCATCAGGGCTTGGCCAGACACCCCTGGAGCCAATCTCTGAACTCCCTCGAGGCACCAGGGGGGAAACCTCAAGCCTTCACTTCCCTTTCTCAGTCTCTGCTGTGACAGTGTGACACTAGCAAGGGGAACAGTGAGACCCTGAGGAATGCCAGCCCCAAATCCTGAGGCATGCACCCAAAAAGCCCTGGAAAGAGGCTACCTGAGTGCCCCTGAGGTGTCCCAGGAGGTGGAGCTCCCCGGTTTATGTAGGGATGGGAAGGGTGATCCTGGCCCTGCACACGAGGGAAAGGTAGTGTGGAAACACCAGTTACCATCACCAGGTACACACACTGGAAGCAATGGGATAGTGGGATACTATCCTGCTGCTGCCCTTTATAGCTAGCAGCTAGAAAATTCCCCAAATGTCTCCAATTGCTGCTGCAGACACTCACCCTCCTGGAGCTTGACACTGTGCAGGTACAGAGGGTTCCTCAGCACGTTGCAGTGCCCTGGCTCATCCTCCTTGGTGAAGAGCAGCAGGTCAGAGTAGACAAAGAGAGTCACCTGCATGCACAAGAGCAGCAAAGAAGCAGCTGTAAGGAACTCAGGCACTGAGAGAGTGTCCTGGAAATGTCCTCTACTCAAAGGAGATACACCAGGCAGCCCAGGCACCTCTTCCAAGGGACTGATTGCTGCTGCACCCCTTGGGGCACTCCCAGAAAGCTTCAGACAAGGCTCCCCCCTCTTGGCAGGCACGTCCTGAGGCTTGTGGAGTCCTGTGACAGGAGGGATAAACCTGCCTGACAGTTCAATGCCACACAAACACACCCTCTCTGCTGCATAACTTACGTAAATGGGAAGTGACAGGAGGGTAACATCAGTTATAAATCAGAGCAGGAGGAAGGAATGAGTTGCAGACTAATCCCAGCATACTGTGGAAGTAGAACCTAAAAGCAAATCTGCATGCCCTGAGCACAGTCATGAAGGAGCTTCACACTGTTCTCAGGTGGGAAAAAGAAGTTTGGCTTTCACAACAGCAGGACCCCTGAGAGCAGCTGCTGGGAACAAAGCTGACACCTCTGAATGGCACTGGTGGGTGGAAAGGAAACACCAACCCAAGTGTCTGCCCAGTGCTGTGCTGGAGCAGTGACTGAGTCCCAGGAGGTGGCAGTTCAGAGGCAAAGGGAGAGTTTGATCTGCTCTGGCTCTTGCCTGAGGTGCCAGTTTGATCAGAACACATTGATGTGAGCTTTAAAAGAAGGATGAACTTCTCCACTGTACTGGAGAATCCTTGACTCAGAAGCCTCCCAGGGGTGAGCTGCTTGGTGCAATCACTGTGCCACAGCCCAGGTGTGAGCCTGTGCTGCTCTCCAGAAGGAGCTGGGGGCACACAGCAAACCTCAGGAGGTCATAGGATCATAGAAATCTCCTGAGCTGGAACAGATCCAAGGATCACCAGTTCAACCTCTGCCCTGCACAGGACACCTCAACAATGCACCCTGTGCCTGAGAGCATTGGCCAAACACTCCTGGAGCTCTGTCAGCCTTGGGGCTGTGCCCACTGCCCTGGGGAGCTGTTCAGCACCCAAACACCTCTGGGGGAAGAACCTTTGCCTAATATCCAACCTAAACCTGCCCCAGTGCTCAACCACTCCCTGGGGGAAGAACCTTTCCCTGATACCCACCTAAACCTCCCCTGACACAGCTCCAGCCATTCCCCCATGTCCTCTCACTGGTCACCAGGGATGCCAGGAAGCAGCTGCAACCTGGCAATGGGCACACAGCCTGGCACAGTGGCCACACTGACTGCCAGACCTTCACACTGCCCAACCACACTCAGCACAGCACACAGCACGTGAGGTGCTCCCCAAAACCTCCCACAGCAAAAGGAAAGCTGCTTTGCAACACTGAGCAAAAGCAACAAAGAGTTTGTGACTTTTAGCAACCCTTTTGCCACAGCAGATAACACCTCAGAGTCCCAGGGGCTGTGGGAAGGGAGCACTGCTGCCACCCCCAAGTCCCCCTTGGAGAGGTGACTCTGCTGTGGGCAGGGACTGAGTCACTGCTGCTGGGGATGTGGTGTCAGTGCAGTTTGTGCCTGGTGGCTGAGTGGCACACACATGTCCTGAGGAGGACAAGCTGGGTAAAACAGTTATCACATGGTGGTGAGTCTCATCTGGCTCTGAATCCAACCCCAAGCCCTGGCCACAAGGCTCCTCCTTGCAGTGCAAATTCACCTTTGTGGGATTCTCAATAAGCACAGAGGTCCTGGCAGAGCTTTAACTGACAATGAAACCAGGGAGGGGTTGTTCTTCTCTGGGTTGTTTGGAAAATCCCTTCGTCTGCTCTCAACACACTGCTGGCCTAGTGCCCACATCCACCCCCTTCATTCCTTCAGGACCTGATTATTAATACAAGGAATAACAAAATACAAGGAATAACAAACTACTAGGAATAACCAAACACAAGGAATAACGAAAGAAACAATCTCCACTCTAAAACTTCACCCCATATCCACCTTGTGCCAAAATGTAACTTCTGTGGGACATATCCCACAGGCCCCAAAGAAGAGATGTCCAGGGATTTTGAGGACAGCAACCCAAAGTGAAGGAGATAAAAGCACAATCAGCAAGTGGTCATGGTGGAATTAAAGGAAAGTGAAGACCAACTGATCTGAAGACCAAATGGAAGCTTAAAGAGTAGAAAAAAGATTAGGAAAAAAACCCACTTTAAAACCAAGAAGGCTTAAATAGGGAATCTTGGAAACAAGATTACAGGAAAGGTCTTTACAGGTAACATTGGGCTTTTAGGGGAAGATGGGATGGATTGGATTCATTCTGTAGAAGATAAAAGTACAGCCAGTGTGGGTTATGTAGAGCATCTCCATTAGCTGCTGCTTCCAGGAAGACACTTCATCTTAGAGCAGCTCCACACAAAAGGGTTTAGAGAGGTCCCTCTGCTCCTCCAAGCTGCTGGGGGAAAAATGAGAGAGCCCCTTCCACCCACTGAGCCAGAGGCAGCCCAGGCCCAGGGCTCCAGCAGCCCTTGCTCAGGAGGTTGGGGGCTGGACTCAAATCCCACCTGAGAGCTGAGCATGGGAAACTCCACTCATGGATGACTCCAGGGCAGCAGGTATAGGGCTGGAGGGGTTAACATGGAGCTCTGCCCTGGGTTGCCATCACATCACTGACAGGCTGTTACACACCTCCAACAGCCCTTGGCAAACAGCTCTGGGATCTACCCTGCAAAATCACAGAGCTCATAACAACCAAGAGCAAACAAACAAGAAACACATCGGAGTTCACCCAGGCAAGACAGAATTCACCAGAGGTGCTCCTTGGAGAGTCAGAGTGGCTTTGTGTATTTGCCAAAAGCCATTTCCTCCCCGAAAAATGAGAAAGACACCAGCTGACAGGATGGAAGGACTCTCTGAAGACACGTGGGCACCCCTGTGTTACTGCTGGAGTCATCAAGGCCACAGGGCTGTTGCCACACAGACCTTTAGGGGATGTGAATAGAGTATAAACCTGAGAACATAATGCCCATCCTTGGGATTTCAGGACTCAAAGGATGACCATCCTGATCTGCAGGCCCTGTCAGAAAAGAGAGCTGAGAAGCGCATGAGCATGGCCCACACTGTACCAGTACCTCAGCACTTTGTTAAGTTGCCTCCAGATCCATTAGAGGTGGATTGACATGGCCAAAGTCCCTGTTTGACACCTCATGTGCCACCACTTGCACCACATTGGTTCCTCTGGCTCTCCCCATGCTGGAGGGATTTCAGGAGACCATCAAAGTGGGAATTGCAACAAAGTCTAGACAGGATGTGATTAAGGCCTGAATAAGGATTGCCCCAGAGGTGAGGTCAGGGAAAGGACAGATCCTGGCAAGCCTCCAGAGAGATAGGTTGACTCCTTCAGGAGATGGGAGAGAGTTTGCTCAGTGACAAGGACACAGTGCCTGATGTGGAAAATGCCACAGGGAGAAGACTGCAGGGGGGTTGGGAAAAGAAAGACATAGGACCTCCATCTCCAGCCCCTCCTCTCTTGAGCCACTCGGCCAAAGACTAACACACACAGAGTCCTGCAAACCACAGAAGCAGTGGTTCAGCTTGAGAGAGGCTGGGTGGGAAGAGCAGTGGGAACATGGAGCAAGGAAGAAAGGACTGATGAGAAACAAGACAGCCTCTGTCCAGCCAGCAGAGAAGGCTGGAGAGGGAGAGAACTCAAGTGCAGCAGAGAGAGGTCACAGCCTTCTGCACCAGGAGAAGCTCTGTTGTGTCCAGACCATTTTAGGTCTTCCTGCCTTCAGAAGTTCAGCCTAGCAGGACCCAAGCAATCGCTCCTGCTCCCTTGGAGGAGAGGAGCCTCTTGTTTTCCAGAGAGACCTGCACTGATCCCTCAAAGCCCTGCCGTGACACTACCACACGCTGCAGACAGCAAAGAGCTCTTCCCAAGGGACTTACTGCTGTTTGGGTGTTGCTACCCACACTGGCAGCTCCCAGTAAAGCAGGGCTCAGCACCACAGGGTATTTCCATTCACCACTTCTATTTTTCCACTCTGCTTACTCACTGCCTCCTGCCTTGCCCCTCTGCCAGGCTCAGCCAGACAGCACAGCCCCAAGGCATCATCATTCCCAAATGCTGTCTCATATTCCTGGCCAGTGTACACAGCTCCAACTGGGAAACCCTCTCCCAGCCTCATGTTCATCCTGAAGGTATCAAAAGCAAGCACAGTCCTTTCCTTAAGACATTCTCCTTCTGATCCTGCCCACAGTTGGGTCTGCATGCTGGAGACAGAGCAGCACATCTCCTGCAAGCAAACACACTTGTTGGGGTTCTCCATCACCCCCATGCACACACATACTACACACAAGCTGCAAACAGCAGTAGTTCTCCATAAACATTCCATATTTGGCTGCTCCTACACACATCTGAGCCTGAGGAGAAAGCAAGCAGCTCCAAACCACCCAGGAGAAGCTCCCTGACTTCAGCTGGCCACTGTATTCCCAAGGCATCCAGCACAGCTGTGCCACACAGCCAGGTTTGGCCTGGTTCTCATTCCTACGGTGCCCAGAAGACCCTGAGCAGCACAGAACAGAGAGGGGAAAGGGTTTATTTACAAGTTACTGTCAAGCTTTCTATCAATCATGCAATTTCCCATGTACTCTCATGTGCTTTTCAGCAGATAAAAAAGCAATTCAAGTCAAGAGTTGAATTACTCACTGAAAACCAGAGAGAGGAGTCACTTAACACAATCCTGTACTGGTTTGTACTGGCCAGTGATGAGAGGTGGCTCTGGGGTTCTGTTCCTGGCCACCCAGAAGCTAAGATTAGTGCAGTCAAACTTCCTTTAGGGCTCTGCAACCATGACACATTGTTCACGCCAATGAAATTCAGCCCCAAATTACTCTGTACAGAGGTGAGATTCCATGAAACTCCCCCAAAATAATGGGGTTATTAACTAATCAGCAATGCATGAGTGGCTCTGCCAGCTGCTGCCTCCTGTCTCCCAGATTCCAGGGCTTGGCAGGTTCTGCAGTTGGATGCAAGTGGAGCCAGCAGCAAATGGGATCAACATGGCTAAACTCTGCCAGTTTGGATGGTGACAGTCATCACACAGGTGCAGGATGGAGCCAAAGGTCTGTTGTCCCCCAGATTTCTAACAATTTTATCGCAGAAAAGTTGAAATGAGAGGAATGAGAGGAATTTGGACATGACATGTGACCTGTTTCAACAACTAAATCTCTCAAAACTCCTTTAGTAAGTTCTCTGTGCAGTTCTAGGCTGCAGAGGCTCCTTCCCTGGAGAAACTCAAAACCCACCTGGACCAAATCCTGAGTGACTGCTCTAGGGGATCCTGCTTGAGCAGGGAGGTGGGACTGGATGGTCCCTTCCAGCCTGAACCATTCTGGGATTCTCTAACCTGGCACAAAATATCCTTAACTGCCTCTTTCTGACTCTGCCAGGCTGGTCCTGACATGCATTTCTCACACACAGTTCCCTCTCTGTGAGCCCAAAGGAGACAAAACCAAAAGTTTATTTCTAGCACAAAGAGAGTTTTGATATTTAATTTATCCCACAATAAAGTGATTACAACTTCTTCCAAGTAGCACATTAATACAATTACTGCACAATAAAACATTTCTCTTCTCAGTGTAATGAGATGTCCCTTCCAGTGCCTAAAGGACCGACTGCCAGAGGGCGGGGACAGAGGGGAAAGTGGGAAGGAATTCTTGGCTGTGAGGGTGCTGAGGCACTGGCACGTGTTGCCCAGAGAAGCTGTGGCTGCTCCATCCCTGGGAGTGTTCCAGGCCAGGTTGAACGGGGCTTGGAGCAACCTGAGCTAGTGGAAGGTGTTTCTGCCCATGGCAGGGGGTGGAATGAGATGAGCTTTAAGGTCCTTCCAACCCAACCCATTCTATGATTCAATCTCCTGTCTAAGACTGCAGGAAACAAGGTTTAATAAGCTCAGACAGCTTGAAAGAGCCTTACCTCTATGGTCCTGCTCCTGCTCTCATGAAGCAGCAGCTCCTCTGACAGAAGCAGAGTTCGTGCTGGGTTGCAGAGATCTAGTGGCTATGTGTGAAAGGGGAAAAAGAAGAAAAGAAAATGAAAGAAACAGTCAAACCTTCCACTGGAACTGAGCATGGCCAGAAAAACTTTCCACCCACCAAAACCACTGTGTCTTCACTTCAAGCTGTAAGTCCTTCAGAGTGAAGCCACCCCACAGAAGGACACACAGCCTGCAGGCCAGTTACAGGAGGAAACAAAGCCTAACACTCACACCTACGTCAGCCCCAGCTGTGAGAAGACAACCAGCCCTTGGCTCTGGCTGTGCCTGTCGTGGGGTGGTTAGGGGTATTTGCAGCAGGAAACACAATGACAGCAGTGCCACAGCAGGTTCCCACGTCCCTCACACACTCATATTTGCTGCCTGATGTTCTGGACTATTCTTGAAGTAAGTTAAAGCAATTCCTGCCCCTGCTCCCCATGGCTCCCCAGCCAGAGTCTTCTCTGGAATGCCAAGAATGGGACAGGTTGATTCATGGCATGATGGAACACCTGGAAGTGTTCAAGGTCAGGATGGATGGGCCCTGGACAACCTGAGCTAGCAGGTGGCATCCCTGCCCATGGCAGGAATGTTGGAGCTAGATGATCTTTAAGGTCCCTTCCAACTGAAGCCATTCTGTGCTTCTATGACTCTCAGGAGCAGCATGGCCAGTGCCACATGAGGCCTTGCAGTATGAGACAGTGTGAAGCAACAAAACAGCTCCTAAAGTGGCAGAAACATCCCAGCCATCATCCAAGACAAGGCTGGGGAGTAAAGAGGCACAAGTGCCAGTTGGTTCCTACTGAAAGGTAAACCTGCACAGCAAGGCAGGTGAACACACTGATGCCAACATCAGTGGCCACCCAGGTGCTGTTGGGGGAGGCTGGAGGTGAGCACACACCTCCCACCAGCACCAGCCCAGGCCCACCCTGTCCCCCAGGCACCCATTGGCTCAGCTGGAGTGACAGGAAACATGGGCCATGGTTTCAGCCCAAAGGAAATCACCAGTGTGAGCTGAGGTGACAGTGCCACTGCTGCTAGCAGGGGAGGATGGAAGGCTCCCCACAGGCTCAGAGATGAAGGGATTCATCAGCAATGTACTGAACATATGGATCAGATGAGGTTTTGTGGAGTTCTGGCCATATGAAGGACAAAGTGGAGGACACAGAGGGTTAGAGCTATAACCACCAAATTCAGGGCTGTTTTCTTAAACAGCTCATGGAACTGTGGAGACAGAACATTCGCTGTCAAGCCATTACTGCTCTGGATCCCTGTCCATGATTTTAGTACTGGTCACCAGCTAACTTTGTTTGCACACTCTAATGACAGCACAAAGAACCCTTGGGAAGGAACCACCTTGTCCTGCAGTTGGTTGCTGCAGTCCAGAAGCTGAGATGCCTTCTCCTGACTCAAGGACCAGATATGAAAGCTGAAAAGGGAGAAAGAATTGAATAGAGAATTGCTTGGGCAGGACAGAATTCCCTTTGAGACAGTCCCCAACACTTTGCTGAGCTGGACACTTTGAGGATGACATGGATCATGCATTTATGGGAAATAGATCCACCAGTCCAGACCCAATCTGCTGTAGTGATCACTGATCACATCAGCTAAGACCTCAATTCCAGCTGCACTTACCTGCACAAAGATGGGGAAGACCAGCACTTTGGGAGCCAATGTCACATATGTGCCATAGGAGTGGGGGATGTGTGGCCTCACTATGGTGCAGTTCTGGTAGTTCGCATAGTTCTTCATGTTCTGCACAGTCTTCATCAGCCTGGATTTCCTCCCAGAGCCTGTGTGGGACTTCCCTTTAGAGGCATTCCCTGGACCAACAAAGAGAAACACAGGATGAGGAGAGAGCTCCAGTGTTGCTCTGCCCACAACCAGATCTGGTCCTGCTGTCACAGGCTGGAGAAGGGCATGGAAAGCCTACAGGGAACAGCTGAAGCCAAGAGCTGCAGGAACTGTCATCACTCTGCTATCAGAGTTTTCCATGGATTTGTGAAATAACAGCAGTGATTTCCTTTCTTCTAATGCAAAACAAGATGTTCCTTGATGTGTCTTCTCAAGAGCTGCTCACTCGCTAGATCCCACCGGCAGCACAGGTGGTGTAAGTATGAACAAGCACCCAGGGAAGTCACAGCAAGCTCTGCTGCAGACCAGCATGCCTCACCAGGTGTTCTCCCCCTCTGCTCTGCCCTCAGGAGTCCCCACCTGCAGTGCTGCCTCCAGCTCTGCAGCACCAACAGAAGGACATGGAGCTGCTGGAGCAAGTCCAGAGGAGGCCAGAGAGATGCTCCAGGGACTGAAGCACCTCTGCCATGGAGCCAGGTTGAGAGAGAAGGGGTGTTCAGCTTGGAGAAGAGAAGTTCAAACAGTTCTGAAAAGAGAGTTTATTTTCACATATGTTTATGTAAGTGTTGTTACTTATCATTTTTATGTCCATGTATTGCCCTTAGCTCAGGGACAGAAGCTAAACTATGAAGCCAAACCCTCTGGTATCTGCTCTACTAGGTACTCCAGGCAGTCCAGGTTCAACTCCTAGTATGGGAAGGTTTAGATTTTATCCCTGACCATGTTCAAGGCCAGGTTGGATGGGACTCTGAGCAACCTAGTCTAGTGGAAGGTGTCCCTTCTCATAACAGGGGGTTGGAATGAGATGAGATGATCTTTAAGGTCCTTCCAACCCAAACCATTCTGGGATTCTATGCAAGGAGAGAATGACAGGGTGAAAGAATCCTTCCCTCCCTCCCTGCAGCCATCCAGCCCCAGGAGCTCCTGCTCCCACCACAGCAGCTTTCTGCCATTGCACTGCATCTGATACCCAGAACCTTCCCAGGCAGAAATGAGTCAAAACACTTCTGAACATGGCTCAGGGCAGATAAGGTCTCTTCCAAAGCAAATATACAAAGCTACCCAACATTACATACTCCATTAAGTATCAGGAAATAGCACATTTACTCAGATAAAGGCAGCAGAGGCAGCCAGTGCTGGGTTGGCAAGCCAGCCCTGCTGTTTACTGCTGGCTATAGCAGCTGCCTTTGAGGGGGGGGGACACGACACCCTCGTGACATAAAAGGTTGTTTCCACCTCTAAGCGCTTTAATCCTGACGTTTTTCCTTTCCCCCTTTTCATGGCTGCACTGCCAGATAAAATCAAAGCAGGAGAGACAACATGGGGCAGATACAATCTGTCTGGGCTGTGCAGGAGCTGCTTTGCCTCCTATCCCTAAATCACCTCATTTTATGAGAGGAATTCATCACCTGCACTGGTTAGTGCTGGCAGAGAAGCACTCCCAGGCTGCTTGAAGTGGCAGCTCCTGTCACTGGGTGGCTGGTGGACAGCTCCATGCTTCAGCCCTGCTCAGCTTAACTCAGGCCTTCCTCTCTCTGAAGACTTAACCTTAAAGAACGGAGCACACAGCTCTGGTGTCCCCAACATCAGAAGGACATGGAACTGTTGGAGCAAGGCCAGAGGAGGCCAAGAAGCTGATCAGAGCACTGGAGCACCTTCCCTACGAGGACAGGCTGAGAGAGTTGGGGCTGTTCAGCCTGGAGAAGAGAAGGTTGTGTGGAGACCTCAGAGCAACCTGCCAGGAGCTGAAGGGGCTCCAGGGAAGCTGCAGAGGGACTCTGGGTTAGGAACTGCAGGGACAGGACAAGGAGCAATGGGGAGAAATTGAAAGAGGGAAATTCTTATTAGATCTCAGGTAGAAGTTTTTCCTGTGAGGGTGGTGAGACACTGTCCCAGGTTGTCCAGTGAGGCTGCCCCACCCCTGGCAGTGTTCACAGCCAGGTTGGCTAAAGCCTTGAGCAACCTGCTCTGGTGGGAGGTGTCCCTGCCCAGGGCAGGGGTTGGGGCTGGATGATCTCTCAGGTCCATCCCAACCCCTTAACATCCTATGAAACACCTCCCCATGGTCCAGCTCATCTTTTCACAGGATCCACAAACAGCAGAAAAGAGATGCAATTATCCATGGTACAAAACATCCCCTGCAGTTGAGAGTGGAAAATTCTCCTGGCTCCAGGGCTGTGAGCTCCCAAGGCACAGGGGCCTTGGAGCCATATTGCTCCCTGCTGCATCCTCACCACGGCTTTGCCAGCCCCACACTTTGCCTTTTACACACTGTACCACCTTTAGAGGCAGCGCAAAGCCTCCCAGCTGTGCCCTCACTGCTGAAGGACACACAGAACACAAGGACATGCCAAGGAGCTTAGCTCTCCTAAGGACACACAGCTCATCCTAAGGGCATCCAAACAGGCCTGGGTGCAAGTACAGCCTCCCAAAGCTCCCAAATCAATGAGCAGATGAGGTATTTTCACACAGACCTGGATTCCTGCAGCCCCCAGCCCTGTCATACACCTCTGCCCATTCTTCCTGCAAGCCCAACCATACCCAGCTCCAGGAAGACCCAGCAAACCTGTTACAGGTATGATTTAGGAGTTTATATTTCAAAGGGGTTTTGAGGAAAGCTGGTCCAGAGAGTGCCAGAGACATTGCAGCAGCCCAGGGCATGAACATTCCCAAAACCTGGCACAACAACCTGCACTGCTGCTTGTGTCAACCTGGGTCCAGCCATCCTCACTCCCACAGCACTGGAGTGAACCCCAAAGCAGGGAATTAGCCCCAAGGCATCACACAAGAAGCTAAACATGTCACAGACAGCCCCACAGACGTATGTGGGGAACCACAGTGCTTAGCACTTTCACACTTCACGGTTCCATCCCGCCCCTGGTGGAAAGTCCCTGCCATGTGTGAGCTCCCACAGATCTGCTCACCACAAGGTACACCCAGTGACACACACAGCTGTGCTCTCCTCTGGGCTTTTATGTTTGAGCCAGAGTGGGAATATGATCTTACCCAACAACCACAAGCTGTCCTCAAAACATGAGGGATTTCACTGCAGGGCTAAGAGAAAGGGCTCAATAGTTCCAGAAGACCAGCATAGCTCTGCTGGGTGCTCTGAGCAGCATTCCCAGCACATGGATACTTACCCCCAGTAGTGTTGTCCTCTTGGTACACAGGCCTCAGCAGCTGTAAGATACAACCCAGAAGGGACAGTCACCAGCAGCAGGCCTGAGGTAGACTTAAAACAACCAACTGCAAATGTTAACATGCCAAACCCACCCAAGCCAAGCACTTCAGAAAGAGGAAAATCATTTTTGCCCTGCTGCCAGCAGAAAATGAGAGCTATGACTTGCACTGTGGTCTGTGCCCCAGAAGCACTTCCCATATCCTTCCCATATCCCAGGAGTAAGCTGTGAGAGGAGGCAGCAGGTCATTCTGAAGAGAAGGTAGCATGGAGACCTCAGAGCAACCTGCCAGGAGCTAAAGGGGCTCCAGGGAAGCTGCAATGGGACTCTTGGTTGGGAACTGCAGGGACAGGACAAGGAGTAATGGGGACAAATGGAAAGAGGGAAACTGAGATGAGATCTCAGGAAGAAGCTTTTCCTGTGAGTGTGGTGAGACACTGTCCCAGGTTGCCCAGGGAGGCTGTGGCTGCCCCAACCCTGGCAGTGTTCACAGCCAGGTTGGCTAAAGCCTTGAGCAACCTGCTCTGGTGGGAGGTGTCCCTGCCCAGGGCAGGGGGCTGGGGCTGGGTGATGTCTGAGGTCCATTCCCACTCCTTAACATCCTATGAAACTATGATACAGCAACAGCTCTATAGTCCTAGGGGGAAATGTTTTAGACAAACAGTGAAAGCTCCACCAAGGGACAGTTGCAAAACTGTCACATGCTCTCACAAACAGAGTGAGGCACAGGCCAAGAGAGGCTCCAGCACACACCGCCCACAACCACACGCAGTGCCCTGAGCATGGGCAGCCCTACCTGGCTCCCTGGGTTCACAGGAGCTAAGATGATGTAGTTCTGGTCTGCAGAGGAGGGGACCCTGGACAGGGCTGGCATGGTGTTCTGGCCCCTCTTGCCGAGCTCCGTGTACCTCTCCCAGCCGTCCAGCACCAGCCCGTCGCTCCGGTCGTACAGCACGTGGCAGCTGCGGCGCTGCTCAGCCTGGGCAGCCACGGCACTGTTCTTCTCCCTCTTGTTGGGGGGGGACTGCAGGTCGTAGGAGGACTTGCAGGAGGACCTGCGGATCATGCCTTCATGTGCTGGTTTGACCTGCGGGACCAACCTCCACACCAGGAGGATGATCTCGGTGGGACAGTTCCTGGAACAGGTGGGATGGAGAAGTCAGAGATGGGCAGGATGGAGTGAGGCATCCCAGG